ATTCTAACCATTAAGGCCCCTACATGAACCCTTCCAAAAAATGATATAGATCTTCGGGGTTTAAGGGGTTGAGGGTTTAGGATTTAAGGTTTAGGATTTGGGGTTTAGAACTTAGGGTTTATGGGATTTAGGATTTCAGGGTTTCGGGTTCCAAGGCTTTAAGGCTTTAGGGTTTAGGGCTTGGGGGATTTCAGGGGTTCGCTCAATGCTTACGGCTTAGATCCACGGGAAGCAGCCATCGCGATCCCTTAAAACTAGAACCTTAAACCCTAAACCCTAAGACCTTAAATACAAACCCTAAACCCTGAACCCTAAACCCTAAACCCTAAACTCTGTTTGTTTGCTGCTTGTTACAATTGGGGCACACCTCCATTCCTGGACCTCCCCCTCCTCTAAGAACAGAGACTGCAGGCCTGCCACCTGACATGACCCAATTGTAACAAGCAGCAAACAAAAACAGGGTTTAGGGTTTAGGGTTTAGGGATGTTTAGGGTTTCGGGTTTAGGGTTTAGGGATATTTAGGGTTTCGGGTTTAGGGTTTAGGGATATTTAGGGTTTCGGGTTTAGGGGTTAGGGAGGTTTAGGGTTTAGGGTTTAGGGTACAGCTCTGAAGCCTCACCCCCAGAAGAGGCCTCGGGGACCCTCAACCATCGTTGCGCTTGGCGTCTGATTGTAGAAGACATTCACATCGGACACGTAGAAGATGCTTCGCCCGACCCCGTTCCAGGCCTCACAAGCTCTGTACTGTGATGTGCCATGGGGTACCAAGAGCCTTCTGTTTTTGATCCGTTCTGTAATGTAGTATGAGTTTAGGATTTAGGGTTTAGGGTTTAGCCTTCTGTAACTGGTTCGTTCTGTAATGTACTATGGGTGTGTGTGTATGTGTACTGCGTGGGTTTTATGTCCAAGCCTCGACAGAAGAAGGGTTTAAAGGCTCGCCAACTATTGAACGAGAAAAGGGCCTCCAGCGCCATGCTTCATTGGATGTAGGGTTTAGGCTTTAGGGTTGAGGGCTTAAGGATGTGAAGCGAAGCTTACGTTATGGATTGGGCGAGTGTGCACCTCCAAGTGGGGATAGGGTTCGACGGTTCAGGCTTCCGAACTGAACCTCATAAAAAAAAATTACGGTACTAAGTCCCATGATCCCTCAAGTACGGAATATGGGGGATTTCCGAAAATAGGGGACCCTAATATGATACCCCCCAAAAAAGTAGGATCCTTATTCTAGGGACCCCAAAATCAGGTACCCTTGTTTTCGGAAACTCCCATATCGACAGGGCACTCCATGCGCCGGCGGCGCATAGCTGGATGACCTCTTTGACAGAACGGTTCAAGGTGTCAGGCTTTGGGTTTCCATGGTCGAGGGCTAAAAGAGATTAAGGGGTTTAGGGTTTTGGGGGGGCCTACAGAGATTAAGGGGTTCAGGCTTTAGGGTTTTTTTGGGGGGGGCCTACAGAGATTAAGGGGTTTAGGGTTTAGGGTTTTAGGGGGCCTACAGAGATTAAGGGGTTCAGGGTTTAAGGTTTTTTGGGGGCTGACAGAGATTAAGGGGTTCAGGGTTTAGGGTTTTTTGGGGAGGTACAGAGATTAGGGATTTAGAGTTTAGGGTTTAGGGGACCTATATATAGAGATTAAGGTTTAGGGTTTAGGGTTTGGATAGAGATTAAGGCTCAGTGCTGTCGGGTTTTAAAAGAAAGACTGAGGTACCAGGACCTTAGAGGAAGCTCTGCTGTGCCAGTGGGCTTGCACTTGGGATTTCCTCGTATGATTCCACTTATGGTTGCTTGCTAAGCTCCATCTGGCTTCCTAAGGCGTCAGAATTCTATAATGTAGGGGCCTGTTTTGGGGTATACTATAATATAACCCTCAAAAGGAACCCCCAAAATAGTGTAGGTAATTATTAAGGCCCCTACACTAGGTTTGGGGTTCAGCGTCCGGTTATAGGATCATGGGACGTACAAGTCGGTTGTATTCTGGTCCTTCTGGGCTTTCAATACCCTAATTCAACCCTCTTGCTTATGACCCTCATCATGACGGACCTACATCATGAGCTTTCAACAAGTCTCTCAGTGAACCCGTCAAAACCTAACCGCGAAAGTCTACTCGAGGGGTTTGAATACGTCGAACAGCATGATTAGTGGTGTAGGCTATAGTCGAGTTAGAATGGGGAAACTTAAGGCGTTAACCTCGAATCACGAAAGCTGAACCCTAAACCCGAACATAGAGGCCTGAATCATCAGACTACAATGTACCATTGCCCTAAGCCCTTGACCCTAAACCCTAAAAAGCCACAGCCACATACAGTTGCCCTGGAGTTGCTGGATGTTTCTGGCTAAGCGAAGGGCCGAAAGAGGTTCACGTGGTAGCGGTTGTCGCCGCCAGAAGGGCCGCCACCTATTCTTGGGGTTCGGATTGTCTGGAGCGTTGCATCTTTCGAGGGGTTTTAATTGCAGGTGTTTATGCTTTTCTGCATTAACGCAGAAAAAGGCCGAGTTTTTGATACGGCTACGATAGGGGCATGAGCAACTTCAATAGCGTCTTGGGGTAGATCATCTTGTGATCATCGGGGAACCCTGAGGAAGGGTACTACATGGTACCAGTCGTCACTCAGATCCCCCATCTGTGCTTCACGCTTCGGAGTTGTATATTCTATGTTCTTGTCATGCTTTTTTTGTTGTTCGAGGGGGTGGTGGGGTTTAGAGCTTTGGGGCTTGAAGTTAGGGGCTTGCGATCTTCGGAAGTTTGAAGATTGAAGAGCTTGAAGATAATACGCTAAAGGGTTTAGGGTTTGGGGCTTAAGTAAAAATCTAGTTCAAGGCTGTTGGGTTGTTTGCTAGACCTTGTGCGTAAGACCGAGCAATACTAAATGGAACCACCTTGTCACATCCCGAACCCCCACCCGAAAGAAGGGTTCTTGAGAAGAAGCGTAACACAAGCCTCTGCGATAAGAGAAAGCACGCTCTTTACTGTTTCTGGGAGTTTCCGAGAATAAGGGGTACCTTATTTGGGGGATCCTTATACTAAGGATCCTACTATTTGGGGGTACTATATTAAGGTCCCCTATTTTCGGAAAACCCCCCCCCACATCCCCTTAAGCCGACACCAAACTGACTTGCCTGCTAAAGAACCCCGGAGCTCCAGCTGCACAAATTGAAGCGACGAAATCGAGAAAAACGGATGGAGAAGTATCTTTCAAATGTGGATAGCTCTTTCATATCATACCATCTCATCTCATCGCATACCAGATCGTATTATATCGAATCATGGCATGTCATGTTCCATAATGCTGTAACACTATATTGGATTACATTACACCGGGTCCTCATGATATCTGCTCCGTCCATATTCGGGCCCTCATGCCCCTGCGTTGGCCTGTACCACCAAAGGTGGTGAAATCCGATCTTGGGCCACCGTAGGTGCAGTTCATTCCTTAGCAGCCAAAGGCCATCATTCTTGAACTGTAAACCCTAAGAGTGTTTACAAAGTCTTCGCATTCTATTTGGGGTTAATGAATGGGGTAACTCACCAAGGGTTTTCGGAATTACAGTAGGATTTGGTTTCCGATGAGGGTTCTAAAGGCGATTGGCGAGGTTTGGTCTTAGAGGGGTGGTCTTGTACAATAAGTTTAGAATTTAGGGTTTCGGGTTTAGGGTTCTGAGGAACGATATTACATCTAGACTTGTTCATGCCTGCCGTGTCGAACCCTAATATAGGGGCCTAAACAATCAGAATAGAGTTCTGGGGCCGTTATAGTATCATTAGAATAAGGAAACCCCCAAAATAATCTAGGTAAGTATTAAGGCCCCTATAATAAGCCAATAGAATAAGGAAACCCCCAAAATAATTTAGGTAATTATAAAGGCCCCTTTTTTTGCTTGCAGCTCATACGACTGAAATCCTGAAGCCTGCAACCCGAACTGAATCCTAAATCCCAAAGACCTCAGGCCCCAAAGCAGTTTCGAAAGCAGGTTTAAGGTTTAGGGTTTAGGGCTTAGGGTTTACGGGAACCGATCTAAGCTACAGAGTAGACGGCGACAAGGGCCTGACAAAAATGCAACACACGGTGAGTCGGGATTGTGGAGGGTTTCGACTAGCCATTTCTCAGACAACTACTCCATCCCCGAACACCGAAACCAAAAGCCAAGCCCCATACATCACAACCCTAAACCCGGAACCCCCAAACCTCTAACCCTAAACGCCCTTAAACTCTAAACCCTAAACGCTAAACCCTAAACCCCTAAACCCTAATCCCTAAACCCCTAAACCACAAAGCCCCTGAGCCCCCAAGCCCCTAAGCCCTAAACCCCTAAGCTCCGAGGTCTAAACCCCTGAACCCTAAACGCCCTTAAACCCCAGATAACCTAGGTTGCTTCCAACCGCCCTGAGGCTGCAGGACTGCTGCAATCGAATAGAATGCAGGAGCTGCATAGAAACGTTTACAGGATCGAGCTTGATATGGCTTAAGAAAGTTTAGGGCTTCGTGTTTAGGGCGCTTGATATGGCTTAGGAAGGTTTAGGGTTTAGGGTTCTTGATACGGTTTGATGACGGTTTTACAGCATGTCTGACAGTTTGCTAAAGGCTGTCCAGGGGCTTCTGAACCATTCGACTGGGGTTGAAGGACTCCCGTACAAGTTTACTATAGGCCTCGAAGGATTTCTGGTCTGAACAAACTGAACCAGAGCGTGGGACAACACTCTTAATCAGTTTTCGTAACCCTTTCGTTAGATGCAGAACTACGTAGCCGTTTGACCGTTTAGTCGGAACGGTTCCAGGTTGAGGGTTCAGAGTCTCGTGGGCACTCGGGATTTGTAAGGCTTCTGTTGAGGGTCCAAGTACCTAATTATCATACACTCTGGTAGTTGGAGCCTACGTAACTACTATCCTCAACCCGAGTACCTAAGCATTGGGTCCTTTGGACCCTGAGGGTTTAAGTTTCGTAGAGGTTTCGGACTTTCTTAAGCAGCAACCAAGATGCCCAGCTTTGCGTAGAACTCATAGCTGGCTTGCATGTCGCTGGTGGCGAAGGTTACCGCATTAATGCCCTGGACAGGATCATGCCTCAGGCGGCATGCAATCGGGCTGCTCCCACAACCCTAAGCCCTAAGCCCCAAACCCTAAAACCCTATAAGCCCTAAGCCGTAAGCCCCAGAACCAACCTTCAACTGGCCATTGGCATCGCTGAAAGTTCTGCCGTTTTGCAATTTAGGGTGTGGGTGGGAATTCTTCAGCCACGAGACGCCCTCGCCAGCAATGGTAGGAGAAGGCATGACCAAAGGCAGAGCATGGTCGCGAAACGAAGGCAAGATGTTTCAGCTACACTGGTCTGAAGCCTAAACCTATAATAGAACTTCAGATAATTGAGACACCAGTGCCTCAGCACTAGGGATGAACGGTGTAGTGGCTTCAGGGTCTGGGTGCGATGGGCAGAGTCTACTCACGTGGAGAGTTTCGGATCAACATCCTCGAGCCGACAAAACAATCGTCTTCTCAAAGCAGAGCCCTAAACCGCCGGGTTATGAGAGAGAAAAAGTTTTGAAAACAAGGGAGCACTCGAACTGCAAAATCACAGCAGGAGCTTCAAGACAGTATTACTACTCAGTACTACTATTATAAATCCCACTACCAGACCTCTTTAAGAGCCTCTGTAATGGGATCCCTGTTATATACCTTACTACAAGAAGCAGGCGTCTTCATCTGGGGTCTGCGCTAAAATTCATTCAGGCTTCAAGTTTCGGGAGTTTGGTTGAAGTTAACGCGTCCGGGCGCAGGGTCCCTGTTTATGGCTCCGGGTTTTACCTTAACCTACCATAACCCACCTTTTTTGTAGGTACTTATTATAAACCCTAATATGGGATTTTTAGGGACCCTACCAAAAAAAAGTAGGTTCTGGCAGGTTAAGGTAGGTTTATGGTTGAGGTACCAGGACTGCTGAGGTTTCGGGGGGTTTAGGATCCCGGGCCTCCAACCCGAGAGCCCCTAAAGCCTATAAGCCCGAAACCCTAAGACTCTAAGATTATCTGTAGAGGGTTTAGGCTTCGGGTTTATTTAGGGTTTAGGGTTTAGGGTTTAGGGTTTAGGGTTTAGGTTTAGGGTTTAGGGTTTAGGGTTTAGGGAGATCGAACTGCTTACAACTGTGTAGTCGTGGGTAAAGGTCCCGAGGCCAAAAAAAATGCGAATCCTCAAAGGTGAAGCAGCAAAGGTCGACCCTAAAATGAAAGCCTTACCCGCGAAAACTGATAGTTGCTAAGGGTTTAGGGTTTAGGGTTTAGGGTTTAGGGTTCTGGTTTGTTACAGGAACCCATTTAGGAATCCAATACCTAAAGCCTCTTCCCACCGCTCGTCCTGCACATTGAATTCGGTGCAATCGCGCCGCACCTGACGCCGGCATGCTTGCGGCTCTAGGCTGTTTCGGCATTCGGGCTGCTTCAACCATGAAACTTACAAAACCGAAACCTTAACCCAAAACCCTCAACGGCGCCCCCCAAAGGCCACGATCCTTGAACAAGATCCCGAAGCAAAAGGTCCCCTCCCGCATACCCTATTCGTCCTGAACCCTTGCCCATTGAAGCCACGCTCCTTATTCAATCCTCGTATTCTTTAACCTCTGTAGATCTCCTACACTGAAAACCATGAGCCTATACCCCCAAACCCTGCATGCCCACAAGCTCTGAGTAAAACTCTGATCCATCCCGTAGCCCCCTAAACCCATCTTAAAACGCCAAACAAACGGAACCCTAGAACCCCCGACTTATGCACCCACTTTCCTGTCAGATCTCTGATATTGGGATCTTTTCTTTTCCTAGGATTCAGGGAGGGTTTAGGGTTTGTTTAGGGTTTTGGGGTTTAGGGTTTAGGGGCTTGGCTTAGGGGCATGGGCTTCCAAGGCATTTTTCTTCGCCTCGCTCAAGCCGTGGCCCCACCATAGGTGGCAAAATAGGGCCTTAAGAGTTACCTATACTATTTTGGTGGCTCCTTGTTACAATTATAGTCTAACATACCCCAAACCCTAAACCCTAAACCCTAAACCCTAAACCCTAAACCCCTAAACCCCTAAACCCCTAAACCCCTAAACCCCTAAACCCCTAAACCCTATAATTACCCGGAACCCCTAAACCCTAAACCCTAAAGCCGAAACCCCTAAACTGTAAACCCTAAAGCCTAAACCCCTAAATCCTAAACCCTAAACCCTAAACCCTAGACCCCTAAACCCAAAACCCGAAATCCCTAAACCCTAAACCCGAAAGCCGAAACCCCTAAACCCTAAACCCTAAACCCTAAAGCCTAAACCCCTAAATCCTAAACCCTAAAACCCTAAACCCTAAAGCCCCAATTAGGGTTTAGGGTGGGGGTTTGGGAGTTCCAGCCGCGAGCTGATAGACAGAGCCCATGGTTTAGGGTTTAGGGGTTTAGGGGTTTGGGGGTTTAGGGTTTAGGGTCTAGGGGTTTAGGGGTTTGGGGGTTTAGGGGTTTAGGGGTTTAGGGTTTAGGGTTTAGGGTTTAGGGTAGTATATGGGCTTCACTAAGTAGAATAGGGCTTTGGGGCCCATCAT